GGCAGGCATGAGGTGATCAACCAATAAGATTAATTGTTCGGGTAAAATTGATCATATCAGGGACAAATGGGAAGCCAGTCACATAGCAAGCAGACATTCTTAAGGAGCATTGTCTCATTCTGTAGATTTGAGATGGTGACTCCTGGCTTCCTGAAGGTGATCCTTACTTACTTTGAATATCAATCCCTGATGTTTACACTCAGGGTGTGGTTGCATTTGCTTTGCCTTTTGTCCTGATATCTGGGCCACAACAGGAGGTGTGAGTCTCCTCCAAGATTACAAGGTATCTGCTCCTCTGCTCCCCAAGGGCCTAGCCTTATCTGACTGCCTATAATGTTTTTACCTAACTCAGCTGCCTAATACAGTTGGACATATTCAGGGGGTAAGTGCGATATCTCAGTGCATTTATAACATGTGCAATGATTAATTTCTAAATCTATCACCTGAGACAGTTATTGTTTCTTTGTGTTGGGAACATCCAAATCGTCTCTACTCATTTTTTGTAAATCACGATTAACTGTCATCAGCCATACTGTGGTCTAGAACATTAGAACCCTTTCTTCTATCCAACTGTGCTCCTGAGGCAGCCCTGGCTGTCTTTAAATCTCAGCTCTGATCCCTTCCTCCCTCTCATGTCCTCAGATTTGTCATGCTACATCATTGGCGAGGCTCCTCCTGGAGCCCCAGCCCCTTCATCCTGTCCTCCTCCACGTCTCTGCTCACTCTCAGATCTCAACTCAGCTGTGATTTCCTCGGGATAGCGCCTACTGATCTATGGATGCATCTCAAATCCCCTTCTGTTATGTGTCTTCTCCCCTACATGACTCCTGAGATCACACTTTTATGTTAACTTCTGAGTTACCATCTTTTTAAAAAGCATGATAAACTCCATGATGTTTGGGATCATGGTGGTTTATGTTATCCGTTTGGTCTCTACACACGATGTGTGATACAGTCATTTATTGAGTGAATGAATCAATCAAAGAATCAGTGAGTGAAGAGATGGAGGAATTGAGGGAGATGGAGGGAGGGAGGGAGAGAGAGAGAGAGAGAGATACAGAGAGAGTTAAGTGTACAGAGAGTTGGAGGATCACCAGGTGGAGCTAACTTCTCTCCAAGAAGACCCTGACTAGGGGACAGGCCAATCAGATGGGACCATCATGAGCTGATGTGACTTCCTGTTAATTTCCCCAGGCTCAATCCTAATGGAAGACCTGCCCTTCTACCTTGAGCTGGGAAGGAGCGATCCCACGCTTTCTGAGCTCCGGCAACTCGACTGTGGACATTATTTATGGCTATAAACCTACTGGCTTGTAAGATGCTCCCCTTACCCCTTGCCTTTTATCGCATACTTTCTGGATCAAACTGTAAACCAGCAGGAGTGTGCTCAGCAATCATTAACAGCTGTTCTTGGACATGAACTTGCCCATATAATTGGGCCTTTTACAACTTTAACCCTGGCCATGGTTCCACCTCTTGGTCATGCATGTCCTCCATAGCTGTGTGCATCAAAAACAAGGCTCCTGGCTAAGACCCGAAACAGAGGGACGAGAAGTGGTGGTGGGCGGGTGGGGAGAAAGATCCAGAAAGCAATTTACTCCCTGTAAAGTTGCTGAGAAGCTAGAGGCCACTCCATTTCAGTTTGCTGCTAAGTGAATATGTAACTACTTTATATATTTCAACAAAATTAAACTTAAACCTACAGAATTAGGTTTATTAATTTCTGTCAGGGCTCAATGGGGGAATGAGAATGGCCATTCATTATGGACACACAATTATTAGAGACAAAAATGAAGCCCAGCACTATTAAGTATAATAAAAACGTTGAACACTGAGGAAATTTTCATTAAATATAATCTATTCTTTATATTACTACACTTAATCCTTGCTGTCTCCTTCTCTGTTTTTCTCCAACCTATTTAATTTTATTACTTAACTTTTTATAAATGTTTCTTAATATAATTATGATTAAATATTTGAGAGGAGAGAAGAACGTTCGTCTCTTAAAAAAGAAGAAGAAAGGGGAGAAAGCTCCCTTTCATCTCTTTACTGCTAAGATGGTGAAAATTGGTGTTTTTTTGGGAAAAGTAAGTGCTAAGTGGGATTTTATTATTGGGGCAAGGCCAGAGCAGAGAGAAAGGAATAATAAATAAGAGAGAAGCCCTGATCAGCAATTGCACTAGAGTTCTTTACAGCACACATTGAGATGAAGGCCCATTGCCTCCTGAAAGTGCCTGCAAATATTTTGTGGTCAAACCCTGTAATTAAAAGATGGGCCATGCTAATGTTGTTGCTTTTGTGCTACCTTGAAAATATCTGTGATGCTAGCGTTGATTTTTAAGCCAGAGTTGGTTCTTGGGGCAGAAAGACAGAGAGCTAGAGCTAAGTGGGGGGCTAAGTGGGCAGGGGTACACATTCAATTTTCTTTGAAGTAATGTGGCCCTATTACTGGATCTCCAAGCTTTTTTAAAATTAATTTTTATTTTAGTAGTACAGAACAACACAGCTCACAACAGTTAAATCTTGGAAGCAGCCTATATGTCCATCCACAGATGAAGAGATAAAGAGAATGTGTTTACGCACAATGGAGTACTATGCTGTCATCAAGGGTAAACCTGAGTCATTCGTGGGCAGAGTGGATGCACTTTGAGAACACAAATTAGATCCACCAACTTACCTATCATATGATTTCTCTTATACGAGAAACCCAAACTTCAAATAAATTGAAGAGCAAAATAAAAGATAGATAACAGGAAATGGGGAGTTAGATCTCTAAGCCTTCATTGGTTGTGCTGTGACCTTACATATTTTTAACGCGGTTCAATCAGGAAGCAGTAGTCTTAGAAGTGTGGGGTTAGGGATACTGAGAGAAAACAGCGATTTGACATTTATGCCCATCAATGGACACTTTGGAGACTGTGTTTACTCTTTGTCTCATGGCAGTTTTACCCCTGGGAGGCCAGCTCTCAGCACACATGAGCTGTTTTAAGAGTTACCTGTTTCTTATTTTCTTCTAGCTCTGCAAGAGGAGAATCCAATTTTTGATACTAGAGGCTCCACGGCGCACCTTGGGCCCTGTCCCCGTGATGTGCCTATATTGTGATCTGACCCAGGTTTGCACTGCAATGACTTTAAACTGTGTTCACACCTAGGACATGCATCTGTGTTGGGATGACTTTTTCATTTACAGGTTTGTTCTTTGGGAAGCCCACAATGGTTGGTGCCACTGTCGCTGCTATTGTGATTGTTACTATCTGCACAATTCTCCACATGATTCTTCTTTCCCCTGCCCTACATGATCTTTACATCAATCTTCTTAAGGCTGGGAACTCGTCGATTCCCCTTCCTTCCAAGTGACCCTCCTGGGTGTCTCAATGGCCTCCAGTCAGGATGGGCGGCTCATGCTGTGGTCATGGGGTCTCTAATCTGGGTGTCCACATTACTCTTGTACCGAAGCTCTGTTCCTGAGTCTGACATATTTCTCCTGTCTCCTCCTACAGTTTATAGATGATACCTTCTAGTAATTTCTGGAAAGAGGAATGCATGAGAATTAAAATTTAGAGAATTTGTCCAGTTGGTCAAGCCACTCTAAGCAACTCCATCTAAGTCATTTCCCCTGCTTTCTCTCCAGACCAACATTTTATTTTAGTCTTCTTCCCTCTCTTCACTTGAATTGACAATCTTTATATTTATTTATTAGCTTACTTTATTTCTTGGCTTCCCCATAAGGAAGTAAGGTCATGAGTGCTGGGACCTTGTTGGATTTGCTTACTGCTGAGGTCCTGTGCCAAGAACAATAATGGATCCACGCGATGCTCCATAAATATTTGTCGAATAATGGAATTGATGAGTCTGTTAGCTTGTTGAATGTACAACTATACGCAGAGCACTGGTCCTGAGGAGGTTCCAGCCCTCATGAGACGTAGCCCACCCTTAGGCACAGGGCCCGTGGTTCCTTAATCTGAGAAAGAGCTTAAGCAGCTTTTAAGATGAAATCAGTGTCAGCCTGATGCCATGCCACCCAGCCCTGGCACTTGGGGCACATGCCTTTTTTAGCCTGGTACACAGAAAACCTGGACTTTAGGCCCTTGCACCCTTGACGGATGTGCTGTTGTTTTCCAAAACAATGTGAATGGAAGAATGCTGATTCTCCTCTTGCATAACTGGAAGAAAGTAAAAAATAAATAAAACTTAGAACTGAATGTGCGGAGGCAAAATCTGAGCTGAGATAAACTCCAGAAAGGTAGAGAAGCATTCCTCAAGAATATAACATAGTACAGCAGTAGTTTCCAAAATGTTATATATGTGTACATGCATGTGTATGTGTGTATGGTATGTGTGTGTGTGCCTCTGTGTGCACACACGTGTGTGGAGATTGTACAAGTTTTTAAAGTGATGCATGTATAGTAATATGCTAATATATTATGCTCATTTTAAACATCTGAAAATTGAATTTAAAAATAGAAGGCATGAAAATAACTTTAAATGGGAGTTTTAAAATTTCTGTACATTCTATTGAGTCACCATATATGTAACCTTTCGCAAAGCCTGAGAGAGAGGAGTAGTGACTAAATTCTGTTGTGCAGGGGAAGCTCCTAGAAGAGTCTTGGAAATTGAGGTTTCTGACCTCCTTCCAGAGGGTGATCCACAAGGAGGCGAGCAGCTGTGTTTCCCCCACTTTCAGATGCTGACCTGACACCCCAGCCTCACTTGTTTGGGAAGACTCAGGCTCCGTGGTACACTGGGATGCTGTTGGCTTCCCTCTGGCTGAAATGTCTGTGCAGGTCCATGGAAAGCTTGTGGGCTCCGGGCTTTGATCAGCTCACAGCCGCATAAAGCACCATGCCCTGGCCTTTGCTATGATTTTCATTACAGAAGCATTGGCAAGGGCTCTGTGGTGACTGTCGATGCTCCCTAAATTATAAATTCTTAAGCCTAGTGCTGCATTGTTGTTTCTTTAAAATGGTACAAGAGTAATACTAACACCTGCCTCATTTGGATCCCATAGTTTGCATCTCCCTGAAGGCTGATCGCATTTATTTTCTTTAGCACCTGCAAGAAAGAACACTTTGAGGTAGGTAATATTATTCCCAACTAACAGATATAGAAACTGAGGTCTAGTGAAGTAATTTTATCAAAGCTCCTCTGACCGCCCAATTACACAAAGCAAATCAAATGAAAACATAAAGCCTTCTTGATCCTAGATTTGCCAAGGAAACTGTTAAAACCTGAAGTGTAACTGCCTATAATCACAAGGCTCCTTAATGACCAAAGCAGGGTATACATTGGGGTCTCAAATTTCATGGTATTTTTGTTTGTGTTTTGATTAGATTTTGGTACTCAGGGTTGAACACATAGCCTCGTATACTCTAGGCAAGTGCTGTTCTGAACTGTATTTCCCACACTTTTCGGTTTTATTTGATTTTAAGACAGGATCTTGCTAATTTTTCCAGGATGGCCTTGAACTTGCAATCCTCCTGCCTCAGCCTCCTGAGCAGCTGCTATTTACAGTTGCACATCACCACACCTGGGTAAATTCTGTGTTTTGTGTACAATGCTGAATCTTTGTTTCCTAGCATACCTCCCCTCAGTGGTGCTTGGTGCCAGATGGGCCAGTACATGGTGGACTTCTTTAGGCAGTTCCTCTGTGGTTGAGTTACTGCTGGCTGATCACTGAGTCACCTTGTGTGATCATCACTGATCTGCAGTGTTGAGTTCCATATGCCACAATGTACCATGTCCGATATGGCTGCAAATAAATAGGACCCCTGAGTTCTGCTCTGTTGGTTTAGAGAGGCCATGTCCTCCCAGCTAAGGCCCCACACCCTCAGCCTCAGTGATGGTCGCCCACCCAGCCACAGTTCCTAGACCTTTCCTGTGTGTGTGTGCCTGTGTGTGGCGGGTCCCTGGCCCTCTGCATATGCCTGGCATCATTTAAGCATGGTAGGCTTATGCCGAGGGACATCCTCCCTTCTCAGCCGATATTTTGGCAGTGTCTCCTGTGGCCTCTGGGGGCACATAGATAGATGCTTTTCTTCTTTCTATCACTGTAACATTAACCTTGTTTAATAATCTATTAGCCAACAGGATAAAGGTCTGATTAACATTCACATGCTTTCCTTGCCACTGGACTAGCTCTGCGTTCCTCATCTATTTGAAAGGTTGATTTTTTTCCCCAGTGGCAGATTGATAGATGAGGTAGAAAGGGCACTGGCAGAGAGACAGCTGGTCACCTGCTTCAGACCCCAGCCTGTGGTTTATTTCACATGTGAGCTTGGTGAGGTCCTCTGGCTTCTCTGAGGCTCTGTTTTGTCATTTGTGAAGCAGGGCGATGGAATCTAAGCCGCACTGTTATTTTGAAGGATTGAGAACATGCATATAAAGTGCTAATAGGGACCCAGAAGACACTCCCGTCTGTTAGCTGTGTTCATCTGATGCCTCATGCAGGAGGGGTCCATGGCGTGAAATTAACACTATCCACGAATTTCCCTTTTACTGCAGCTGATTTGGGGTTCTGGAATTGCTGCTCCGGACACAGCGATTCTGTCTGCCATGATACCTGTGCTTTCTCAGGAGCCAGGCCAACTCTTGGTAAAGGAAAAGAAACCCAATGGACAGAGCTATGGTGGACCTTAGGAGACAACTGAGAGGAGATGAAGGTTTTATCATTTTTCTTCTGAAATGGCTATTTTCATACATACGTCTTTATACCCCAAACTCATCCTAAGCTTAGGCAAGTCAGCCCAGCTCTCTGGCCATTAATTGGGATTCAGAAGAGCTGAGTGGCCATGAAAACCAGCTTGCTGGGAGGGAGAGGTGTCCACAGCTCCCAGCGTGTGCTGTTCCTGGCTCTGACTTTGTTTCCCAGGCACTCCCAGACTTTTAGGGGCACTGGCCTCACGGAGGGGACCCCATTAAGATGCAGGTAGCAGACGATGGCAAGTGCGTGTTCCCTGAGGAGGCCTGGGGTGGGGCCCAGGACTCTGCATTTCTCACACGCACCTTATGCCATTGCTGGCCTTCAGATCACATTTTGAGTGGCAGGTGCTCAGCTTTTTGTACACATCACTCAGCTGCCACAGACACTGTGACATGTTTTTCTGCCACATCTCTTGAGACCACCCCTGCTTGTGTCATGGCACGTGTTCTATTCTCCTGCATTTGCTTCCCTCCTCACTGCCCTGTGATGCTTCAGTGACCCCTTCTCCTCCCGTGTCATTCCCATCACTCTGTCTTTTTCAGAGTCAAAGTGGCTACAAATAACCTCACATTTGGTATCTGGATCGAAAGATGGAGAAATAGCAACTGGAGGAAACGTGGAGGCAAAGCTGCCACTCTACAGAGCAAAGTTCCAAGAGAGGAAGTTGAGATATTCAACATTAGTCCAAGGAGGGAGGTCCCCTTCCCAGTTAGCCCTCACTTCTGAGGTCTAAAGTTGAAATCCTTGACACTGCTAGGTACTTACAAAATGCCACCGGAATCTCTGGAGACTTACATAAACTGCTACCGAGTAAGATGCTCAAGAATAGAAAATGTCCATGTCCAGTGCATCCCACAGCCCGCCCCTCCCACTGGATTCAGGAGGTCTGAGATGGAGCTTAGATAGTGACTTTGCTTTTGAGCCGCCACAATTGAGAATAGTGTCCCAGGGGAAGATAGGATGGGTCATAAAAGCCTTCCTACAGGTGTTCACAATTCCTCTTTCTGTTTAGAAAAAATATTTCCTATGTGACATTTTTTTTTCCTCCAAATACCTTCTTCAACAGAGATGCAAATGTCCCTTTTCCTCCTGGCTTAACTGCAGCCCGGTTGCTGGTGAGTCTTGGATGAGGTTCAGCCCCTGCGTGCTGCAGGTAAAGGCAATCGGATTCAGAATAAGCATCAGAACGCAGAGAGGCAGTTGCAGTTCATGGGGAAATTATTCCCATTTCAAATGTCACTCGGCTTGATGCATGATTAAGGGGAGCATGAGGCACCTCCTGTCTGGGCTGCAGGTGGGTACAAAAGCGGAAATCTGTTTCCCCAGACTGGTGTGTGGCTTTGTCATATCCAATGCCTGTCACCTCAGCAGCCGCCATCCCTAACACACCCAAGGAGCCTGCAGCATTTAGCTTCAATTACAGACGTCACTTGTCATTTCAGGGACGCTGACTACATTAATAAACTTTTTTTTTCTGTTTGGAGAATTTGATTAAAGTGTCTTGTGGATAAATAACATTTATCTGTTTTCCTTTCATTCCCACGTTGTATACACAAACACCAGAGAAACAGAAACACCTGAACTTCAGAGCCCAGAGCGGGCAGACACAGTGTTTGTTAAGTCCTCTAAAGTCTCTGCTCCATCCTCAGAGATTTCTATTTGGTTTGATACATGGAGTTGTTGGCCTCTTTGTGCACACAGGGACATGGGACTTCTTGGAAGGGGCAGGCACAGGTCCTACAGGAAAGAAAGAACTTCTTGGAGCGAGGGTCCTCTAGGAGGACAGTGTGTTTGACTTAGGTTAGCAAAGGGATGGGGACATGTTGAGGATGTTCTTTTACAGAGAACCTTATTAACACGGTAGGTTTGTGGGTCCCATTCAGCTGGTCCTAGAGCAGACAGCTTCTGCAGCAGAGCTCACGGTAGTGATAGCAGCTCTAGGGTTAGACAGAACTGGGCTTGAGCCCCAGCTTGCTCCACAAACATCTTGGTCCCAATGCGTAACCAAGGTCCTCAGCTTTCCCTATGAGGATGAGGATCCCATGAGATAACAACGACACATCAAGAACTTAATCATGTGGCATGTTTGTGTACTAACCAGAGGTGACCTCCTAGTATCATAGATGGCAACAGGAAGAGGGATTCAGGTCCGGAGCAAAGTTTTGGTAGCCCCTGTGAGGCCAAGTTCTCATTCTTCGGTTCCTGGACTGTGGGGATCCCTGGAGAAGCTGTCGGGGCAGTGGAAAGTGTAGAGAGGCCATTTATAATTGTACAGAAGGACTTCGGTGTTCTGCCAAGTGGAACAGCTACACTGGTCCGAAGGGGCCGCATATCAACCTTAGTACCATGGTTATTAATTGAATGGGCTGCTTTGTGTCAGCTCTGTACTCAGACTGGAAAGGATTATCTTATGGACAGGGGTATAGCTGCAGGATGTGGGTGCAAACATTCATTCATTCCCTTAGAAGGTTTTTGATGTGTTCCTCTGTGTGATCCACAGATGCTAAGCACTGTGTTACACACCAAGGGATACAGGGGGACAGGACATGCCTCAGCCCAGTGAGGAAGGCAGGCAGGTAAAGGGCTAGCATGCAAATAAGAAGCATACAGATGATAGACCTGATTCTGCCAGAGGAGTTAGAAACACCTCCAGAGACCTCAGAGCGTTAGGGAAAAAGTTCGATTTTAGTTACACAGACAACACCTGAATGCAATACTACTTGTAAAAAGAAAAAATTCAGAGATAAATCTAAAAGGCTCTGAGGATATTTAACTCAAGCTTTGACCTCATAGACAACTACACTTATTAGTGTTACATGATTTTTTCAGTTCGTTGCCCTAGGACATAGCAGTGGACAGTCTGTGTGGTATTTGTGTATGTTTACATATGTTGTGTTATATCGTTCAACCGACACTGAGCTTGCTTTTGGTTTCTAGAACTAAGGCCAGGAGACCATTCAAGAACCATTGAGGGCCCATTCCCGGCAGAAGTAGTGGACTATAGCTCTGTAACTTCTACGTCTATTCTCCTATGGGTGGACACATACAAATTTTGATTTTTCATTTTATGAACAGTATTACACTTACCATCCTGCTCTGGCCTTTTTGTCAACATGAGTTTTCAGCGAGAGAGATGTAGAAATATGCACTGGTTGAACCATTAAGCATGCAAAAACTGAACCCTCCCCCAAGAAGCTATGTCTGCATGTACCTTTCATCAGTCAGGAATGGAAAAAAGTTTTTCCACAACTTTTCCAACATGTGAGAGTAGCAAACAATTCTCCACATTTCCAGAGGGATGTGTGGGCCTTACGTCTTAACAAGCCTTGCTCTGCAGATGATTTAAAATGTACACCAGCCGGTTGTGTTTCCTTGGATCTGAGTTTAGAAGGTGATTAAGAATATACCCGGAAGTCATGCTCACCACGGGAGAGAAACCAATTAGAGCTGAAGTAGCAATTGCTACCTGAGGTGGAGTTTTGGGGGATGTGTTGTGGATGAAATACTGGACGAAAAAGGAGAGGAATGTGGATGAGGAATTGGTAGAGCCAGGATTGTAGGAGTCTTGGCCACACAGAAGGGTCTGTCTTCCCTCCTCTTGCCCAGGGATACATGTCTGACAATTTTAGATCCCGAAGTTTCAAGATGAAGTTTACATTTCAAACATGTTGAATAGTAGCAGTGGCAGGGGACAGAGAGACCCAAGACCTAGTTCAGTGGTGAAAATGACAAGACTAAGTAATCCTCTAATGTAAATATGCAGATGAAGGACGTGTGAGACAGGTTTTGTGCAGCTTCTCAAAGCTCCACGTGAACTTCCTTGTGGAAAGTGGATTCTCAAACTGCGGCTCGTGAGTCAGCAGATAAGCAGGCTGAGGACTCGCTAAAGATTCAGATTCTTAGCCCCACCCCGTGCCCACTGAATCAGAATCTCTGCTGGTCGGTTGCTTTCCTGGTGACTCGTTTGCACACTCAAGTTGGAGGATGGTGGATGCCCAAGGTATCCCTGAGTCATAATCTAGAGGACAGTCACTCAGGAAAGCCAGCCGAGCAGAATGCCTTGGATGGGATTTTATGGAAGAGAAAAAGTGAGTGCTTAACCTGGGTAAGTCACTGGGATAATTTCTGCTACAGCTGCTGGCCTGGTTTATAATGTGCACAGTTCACTTGAACAAAGGGCCAGATTTCTGCTCAGTGGCTCCCCGCAGGAATTTTCAGTTCCTTAAATTCTGGGAGAAGAATGTTTCTACCATCTATGGCCAGGGTTGTGCCTTCCATGGAGACATTAAGAACAGGACTAGGACAGTGTCCTCAGTCTCCCATGGGATGAGAATAGACCAAGACTAGCTCCGCTGGCTTAGTAGAGGTCTCAGTCACTGGTGAGATAGTCTTAAAGATGCACACTTGGTGTCTGACACTTTTCACACTCAGAACTGGCCAGGTGGTTCTTTTATTGGGAGAAAGGCTTGGCGAGTCAACAGGAGGAACAGGTCTCTCTTCTCAGGGTCCTGTTCTGTCTTGAGCTCTGTCCATGTCTTTAACTCCTTAACCACAGCTCCTCCTTGCAGAACAAACACCTGAGCCAGACCATCCATGTGGCTTCCAGGGAAGACGTGTGTGATGGGGAACTGGTTCTGCTCCGGTAGCTTGGGTCATGCTGTTGCTTGTTGTTGTGTGCAGATCACCAAGTTGAGAAAGAGGCCTTGTTGTAACCCAGGAGAGAAAGTGCAGTTAATCACTCAGCCTTACCACCAATTACTTGCCCGGCGTGGGTTGATGCCTTGCATGATTTCTGGGAACCCTTTCTGGATCCACACACTTTTTGCCTGCAGAGTGAAAATGTACTCAAGGGTTTGGGATTTATCCTAGGGTAGAGAGGATTTCCTACTGGCATTTGAGAGGGACAGTGGCACAGGCAGAGGCTGCACAGGAGGGAACTGACATCTGAGGTCT